AAAAAAAAAAAAAAAAAAAAAAAAAGTATAAAGCTAATATGCACGTTCTAGTAGTTTTCGGTGGCCATCTAAACTTATTTCACTCAGAAATGAGATTTCCAGGTCATAAGTAGGTATGTACTTAGCTTTGTGGATTTTTTTTTCCTGACTAGTTTATTTGGCACCTGTGCTGGTGGTGATAGTCGGCCGGGCATGGCCCTGGCTACGTGGACTATACTGCTGCCCATGGGCGTGGCCCAGGCCAGGGATGGACACCACGGATCACAGCTCCCACCAGGCAGAGGAAGGCTGGGGGGACATGTCCTGCTGAGCCTTGGGCCCTGTGCACAAAGGGTGTGGGCCGAGGAAGCTCCCTGTCACCACCCCGTGGCCTCGGCAGGACCCAGGCAGAGGGGATGTTGCTCTGCCCACTTGGGGAGGCTTTGTGGATTTTTTAAATTATCACTGAGCAACTGGTCAAAGTTATTGAACTAATTTACCCATTAATGAGTTAGACTCATCTTTTTAAAAAATGTAGTGACTCAGTTGGGTGTGGTGGTGCACACCTGTAATTCCAGCACTCCGGGAAGCTGAGGCAGGGAGATTGCAAGTTTGAGCCCAGCCTGGGCAGTTTCACAACTTAGCAAGACCCTGTGTCAACAATTAAAAGTAAAAGCTGGGCGTGGTGGCGCACATCTGTAATCTCAGCCCTCGAGAGGCTGAGGCAGGCGGATCATTGCAAGTTTGAGGCCAGCCTGGGCTACAAAGTGAGCTCAAGGCCAGCCTCAACTGAATGGCGAGACCCTGTCTCAAAAAAAAGCCCAAAAAAATTAAAAGTAAAAAAAAAGGACTGGGTACTAGACCAGTGTGAAGACCCTGAATGCAATCCCCCGTAGTGAAAATAATTTTTTTTACTGACCCTAAGACCAAGGAAAAAATAAAAGTCACAAATTTACCTTTAAATGGTTTTTTTGACACTTAAATAGGTGAGCTACCCTTTGCCAATTAATTATATAATCCCCCCTTTTAAATTAAAGATGCCATATAATTTACCTGTTTTTTCCAATACTGGGATCGAACCCGGGGCCTCATGATGCTAGGCAGGTGTGCAGCTACTGAGCTACACCACAGTCCTCACCCTTGTAAACAACTTCATGGCTCAGAAGGCCCTACGACCAGCACCACTGTTTAATCCCAGCACAACTGCACCATCCGCCCAAGAAACGCTGTAGCCATCAGTGGTCACCCTGGGTCCCTCTCCTTCGAGTCCCCAGCAGTCAGGTACTGATCCTTTCTGCCTACAGATCTGCCTGTGCTGGATCCTTCATAGTGTTGGTTAAACTGTAACATATCCATTTCTTTATTCCTTCCAGGACCCTAAACACTTCAAGTCAGAGAAGACGGGACGGGGTCAGTTAAGGGAAGGCTGGAGAGATAGTCATCAGCCCATCATGTGCTCCTACAAGCTGGTGACCGTGAAGTTTGAAGTCTGGGGACTTCAGACCAGAGTGGAACAATTTGTACACAAAGTAAGTGATCCAAAAAAAAGCAGCAGCCGGGCATGGTGGCACACGCCTGTAATCCCAGCACTTGGGAGGCTGAGGCAGGAGGATTACTGCGAGTTTGAGACCAGCCTGGGCTACACAGTGAGCTCAAGGCCAGTCTGAACTGCATAGCGAGACCCTGTCTCAAAAAGACAAAATAAAATAAAATAAAGTAAAGCAGCTTCTGGGCTGTGTACAAGGCCACTGGCTTTATTGTCAAGTTGGAGGACATGATGTCCACCCAGAGCGCAGTGCTGAGCCAATACCAGGTAATCATATCTAGGAAGCACTTTTAGGGTGAAAATTCATTTTGTATGTGGGTTTGATTTTCTTCCACTACTAGATGTAGATGTTGTACGCTTCGCCTCTTGTTCTGTGAGCTCCGGGTCCGCTGGGTAAGTTTATGTGGGAAGTGAGGCTTTCACAGCGCCCTTCCCTCTCTGGCACCAGGCTAATCTGCTGCAGGCAGAGGCAGCTGGGCAGAGGCCCACAGGCTTATATATGTGCACCGTGCCCGAGGCGAATCCTTCCCACTCAGAAGATCATGCCCACATGGCACCTAAGGCGGGCAGTGCCCCACGGGACAGAACAGGGCGTCCCTGCTGTGCCACGAAACGGCACGCCTCAGCATTTCTGCTCTTGTAAGAATTCTGCTACTGAAGAATTATTAACCACCCCAAACACAGATTTCACCTTGGCTACACATTTTAATTTTGTAGCAAGAACCTACTTGGTGACGATTTAAGTCTTCTAACACGACACTTCACATGGGAAAAAAAATGATGGAGAAGGAAAAGTGGAGCGTTGAAATGATAAGCTACTCTCATTTTCATAAAAATAAATCCGCCCTCAGTTGTCTGTGTATTCCAGAGAGGCTGGCTTTCTGTTTATTTTTCCACTTCAAAGCTGATAAAGAGTAGCTTTTCAAAATTCTTTTGGGGACACTGGAAGTTTTACTTAATGCATTGAGCTGTTTGTTATTTAGATGATTTGTCTACTGACTGGGGGCCAGTTTGATGATAGAAAGTTTAATTCTTGCCAGGCATGGTGGCGTACACCTGTAATCCCAGCACTCAGGAGGCTGAGGCAGGAGGATCATTGC